CCCCCGTTCAGGAGCCCACTCAAGGCCCCCCCCCCTCCCTGTCCATCGGGTTACAGATCAGACATGCCCACCATAAGCCTGATCTTTACTAACTGTAATGGGAAGTGATGCTATGCCTTTTGACTTAACACCTATAGTGAACTAAAGAGCGCTCATAGTAGATCTTTCATGGAATGTAAAACTTTTCGACTAAAACGCCCCTAAAGGGCTTGTGTCTATTATTACTATATGTGATTGGACCCCATAGCAAAATCAAATAGGGGGCCCCTACCTATCAGATCTCTATCTCATTATCTTATTATTCCTCCAGCAGTAAAGAATACAAATTGCATTAATTGCAATCATAGATATGATACCAAACTATATATATACTTATTTAAATTTGATAACAACTTTGGCACCCCATAGCAATTGTATGGCATGTTATACCAATTGGTACACCCTTGCAGTTAGTAAAATGCTCATCTGTATTGAAGAAAGATGTGCTATTAATAGGGTGTTCATGCGGTTTCATTCATCTCTGAAAACAGACTTTCTAAATGACATTGGTGGAATCTAATTATTTGCAGTATGTGGTAATGCTTCTTTGGAGCATAATGTTCTATCAGTGCACCGAATGCCCAGTATACCCAGATTGATGCATTGGCTGCACACTTTTGTCTTTTGTTCTGCCTGTAGGATTTGGTCAGATATCCCGCAAACGTAAGTCAGAACATCTGTGTGTAGAATTACGGATCATAATCAGTGATTGCTTGTGATTCATTAATGAAAGGACTTAGACATCGACTGCATGTTAAAAGGGAAAGTATAGTGTATTTTCAATGTGCGCTTATGTTGCATTATTTTTGTAGTGCTTACCTTAGAAGAGACATTTTCATATGATTTTTACGTTTTTTTTTTACAAGCTTACCAATTCAAATTGGCAACTAAATATAGATGTTTGCAGAATGGCCACTAGAGGGAGCTTTTAGTAGCTCAGTGCAATTGCCTGAGAGGGAGCAGGAAAGCTCAGCCATTGTGTAGCACTGTAAAGTAGGAAAAAGGGCCTGCGTATGGAATAAGCAGAGATGGCTGCCCCCCGTATGCTTATATAAATACAAATTATATACAGAAGGAAAGTTTTTAAAGCAGTAAGACACATGGGTTATTGATTTTTTTTTACAATAAGGTGAGATAATATACATGATAATAAAACGAATGAAAAGACTATACATTCCCTTTAAAGAAATCAACAGCAAATCAAAAAAATAAAGAATAAAGCAAAAAGCAAAAAGCAAATTTGTTTTTTGTTTATGTATTATTGTGCATGCCTATAGTAGATGTAACACATGCTATGTAGTCCTTCCATAAGTATATTTCTGAATGTCCTAAATTTTATAGGATTGTAAAGTTTTTCTATATATTTCCTTGTGTCCTGTCCATTACACTTTACACAATTTGAGGTAAGAGCCAACTTTGTATCAGTCAGATATTTAGTAATTGATCCATTCGGCTGCCCTCACTGCAAACAGGTCATGCTGACGCTCAGCCCTAATCCAACCCTAATTCAGGATAAAAAAGTGCATTTCTTCCCGATTCCATTGCATATTGCTGCTCAAGCCCTGAAGAGGGGAGTGTCCAATTCCCTCGAAATGCATTGGCTGTATCTAACAAGTCAAACGTACCTTTAGGCTATTTGATAGTTTGTTAGGTGCTCCTAACCACACATTCAAGATATTTAGTGTAGAGTAGATAGAGTAGAATTCCAGCCTAAACCTACTTCGCCAGTGAGAGTAAAGTAAGGGGAAATCTCCATAATAAAGACACAGACAGAAACCATTTGCTCCTCTATCCAAGCTAAATAGCAATTTTTGGATGCAGACCTACTTCATGAGGTGTGACCGTTACGATGGAGCGTCCAGTGACATCATCAAACAACTCCCATCCCATGTCCTAGCAATTTAACATGCTACTGTGAAATTTTCTGTGATGCCATCAAAATGACCTTTTCCCATTATTGGCAATATCACACAGGTCCCTCATCAAACCACTCTCCTTTCTCCATTTCTATATGCTGGCAGTTTAATGCTGGTTCTTATGGAACTCCCTGTGGCATCAACAAACCACTTTCCTTTCATAGACTCCCAACCCATGGCAGTAGCTACTTGGAACACTCTTTTAATATTAGAGGTTCTCAGAGGCCTCTCCATAGGCCATGGTGGTCAACCATTGGTCAGGTACACAAATGTCGGCAGATGTGCTATATTTAGCAATTTGGCTTTTTGCTTCCAGTCAAGCCCAGAACAAAAGGGGACACATGCTCCCTCTGGCCTCCGAGGAATATACTTAAGGAAGCTCACACTGAGAGAGCAGATCACTTTCAGTGATATATTGGCCCGATGTTATAGTTTACTGTACACAGCATTCCTGTAGCTGGTTACTTGATGTCACTGGCTCATAGAATCCATTATTTCCCAAATGTTACTGCAGTTTTTTCTATGATGGACACCTGATGGACTTTGCTTCAAGAGGCTAAAATTTCATTGCATTTTATTTCAAAAGCCCATTTCCCAGTAACCACAGCTGCTACGCTATGGACCGCACAATTATACCTCTTAGGCTGAAAGCAGCCAGTTAGTGGCAGCATGATGTAAGGTCACGGTGGGAGCCTGATTAGTAATAATGAGAGGATCAGTTGGCTGAAACAGGATTTGTACTAGATCAGACTGATACACAGTAAACGAATGTTGGCTGTGGACTGCTAATCTGCCTTTTAAAATAATCCACTAATTTGTGAACTGATCGCTATTTAGGGGAAGCCTATTATACATTCCCATCAATAAGCAGGTAGAACCCAATAAGAATCCGGCTTTTCCTGGGTTAAAAGGGTGCAGATTATTATGGGTTTCAATTTTCTTCCCTCTGTGACATCCTCTCCCCATAACCTCCTTAACCCTATGTGTCGGAAAAGTATGCTGCCCACTGGTCACTGTTGACTGAGATGTGAGCTCCCTGATAATATTAGTCCACTAAACACTTCATGGATTGTAAATATCTGCCCAATGAAGACATATCAGGACATATGAGCTAAAGAGCTCCTGTATGGCTCTCCAAGCCAGGAATAACATTCTTCAGCCTGTAGCTTTCAAGCATGGCACTGAAGTGGCCTTACCATACACAGTCTACATAAAGTTGCATCTCCTGAGCCCAAGATACAGGAACCAATTGCCAGGCAGCTAACAGGATAATATTGTAATATGTGAAAACTAACTTTATGTATGTTTTTCTACACAGTCCTTATGACCGACATGTTTGATTTCATAAATCACAGATAATTTCCATGTTGAACCCTGTATGAGCTCACCGCCATGTGTCTCTTCATTTGCCTGTTTTGACCAGTCTGCTAAAATCAGCTTCCTGCCCTGAGCAAAGGAGTATTGTGATTATAATCAAATCCATAATGCTAATATTTTTATAATTATTATATTTTTAGTATAAAAGGTGTCCACATACAATGATAATTACCATGTAATCAGCACGTGTAACTTTCAAAGGTTTGATTCCCATCAGAACCTGAGGAATATAAGAACTGCATGACCATAGTCTATAAAGTTACTGTAGTTGTGAAGACAGACACAAATATTATTGAACATAATATTTGTGTCTGGACACCTTTAGTGCTAATAATATGTGTAAAAATGCTGATATAAATGATAATGCTTATATAAATAAATATACGTTGTTATAAAAGCAGAATCTTTTTGAGACTCATGTGGCCCTTGAAAGAAAAATGTATCTAAAAATGCAAAATTCACAAACATTTTATAGTAGTTGGCAGATCTAACTTTATAAAAATTTAGAATTCTCGATATACAGTGGGGGGGGACTTTATCCAAACTGGAGCACACAAAATCTGGAGTAACTGTGCATGGCAACCAATCAGCTTCTCTCTGCAGTTTGCTCAGTTAAGCTTTGAAAAGAGAAGATTTTGTCTGCTCCAGGTTTGATAAATTCCCCTCAGTGTATCTACACTTCTGAGATTGATCTCATGATATGGACACTAATTTAGTCTAATTGTTACACAGTCAAGTACAACACTACACAATATCAATTCACTGACCTGAATAAAAACCCCAAACTTCAAATGTGTATTTTTTCAGGGTATAAATCAGATTCCTTTTATGGACTTATGGGCAAAAGATCTTTATTTTCTGGTATGTATTCCTCCTATGTATCATTTGTAGGGAATACTAATGAATGTCACAGAATTAAGTTTATAAACTGTGTTAAAAGGAAACTATTACTTTATTTTTTGCATAACCGTTTATTATATAATTATTATATAATAACAAGAATTGCAAATTCTGCAAATAAATGAATTTGTATTGATATTTTGTGTAGGCAGCCTTGTTACACCTAATCAGAGATATCTAGGATCTCTAGTTAAAATTTGCTTTATAAAAGTTATGATTCTAACGTTTCCTCCACAACAGATCACAGTTTAGGGCTTCCTGACCTTAAAAAGGTCCTTCCATCCACAAAAGATGTTATAGGTGGAGCCTGGCAGGCTGAGTCAGCCCCTATATTCTTATATGTACTGGATAATCAAAGATTGAGATTTCAATCTCAATATATCCCAACTTTGTTCCTGTCCAGTTGAGAGTTTGGGTGTCTCTGCCCATGAGGGATGGTGGGAGCCCCTCATAATGGGCACAGCAGATGTGCAGACCCGGGAACTCAGCACACGGGTGGTGGGAACACCTTATAATGGGAAAAGCAGGTGTGCAGACACTGGAACGCAGCGCAGGAATGGTGGGAACATCTTATAATGGGAAATGCAGGTGTGCAGATCCAGGAACTCAGCACAGTAATGGTGGGAGCCCTTCATAAAGGGCAACACAGGTGTGCAGGCCCAGGAACTAAGCATAGGGATGGTGGGAGGCAGGTGTACAGACCCAGGAAGTCAGTACAGGCATAGTGGTAGCCCCTCATAATGGACACAGCAGGTCTTCAGACCCAAGAACTCAGCAAAGGGATGGATGGGAACCCCTTATAATGGGCACAGTGGGCTTGTAGACTTGGGAAGTCAACATAGAGATTTCACTAAAAGAGTCTCCAAGTGATAGAAGAGAATGCCAGCTGGTTTAACTCTCCAGCATCTGCCAGATGCTGAAATATCAGTCTTGGGTAGACTGGCCCCTTAGGGTTATTAATGCAGGATCAACTCACTAAGCCAGCCATTCTCAACCAAGGTTCCATGGAAGCCTGGGGTCCCTCTAGAGGCTGCTAGTGGTTCATTGAGCTGTAGCTTACTGACCCCATATTTGATAGTGCCCATAGTTCTCGGGGCCAATGCCACCTCGCAGAGCCAGCAACATGAGGAGGGGAGAGGAAATGAATAATTACTAGGCTCTGCCATGTGATAAAAAGTGAAAATCTCCTATGTAGCAGCTTGGAAGGAATGTGATACAAACTAAGAGATCAATCTCATGAGATTTTAGCAGCACAATTAAGCAACTAAATATCCCACATGTAGCCCTAGGTTTGTTGTTTTACAGCAGCCATAAAGTGGAATTGTTCTCTAAGACACGAAACTGAGAGGACGGCTAGAAAGCAGAGTCTATTTAAACAGTATTGCATCATAAAAAAATGGATTTCTATGTATACTGTATATATATAATTGTGAGCCACAACTGCTAAGTCCAACCTTTTCTTTCTAAATTTCACTATACAGCCGCAGCTGGAATCTGATCATTAGAAGCAACAGTCAATTTTATTATTTCTTATCAAGTTGCTTTCTTACAAGGCAGAGCAGCCATTATGTGGGTGGATCAATCTCTATCATGCAACAGTTTTATCATCCACATTTCCTTCCTTACAAATGGGGGGCTTCTGACTCTGTGTAGGCCTCAGGCCCTCAGAATGTAAAGAACTGCTGAAAAGGGTCATCTCAGGAGCATGTCAAGCGTCACGTAATTAATAATGCATCCTGATTTATTTTGATGCCCTTTTTCTTCCCTTTAAGTGCGTACAGCTTGCACATCACTGATCAAACCCTGCTTAATTAATGACCCCCACAGGAACAAGTTTTTTTTAAAGCTTCGACTCAAACGATGACAAATTGCTCAACGACTTTAGGGGACGTTTTTGCTGACGAGTCAGATAATACTGCAAAGTTTGGGTGTTTGATGTCGAGTTTCACTGCTTATTGCTGTGGGGCAAGTTGCATAAGTCATTAAGGAAAAACAAAATATATATATAGTCAGGAGTGGAATGATTATCTTCACCCACATACATAATCTGGCATCACGCCTGTCCATTAATTTTTCTAGGTTAATGTGTTTGTCATTGTAAGAATGAAAGCACATCGCAAAATTGTTGTCTTTGCTCTTTTGCGTAAACATGTCACCTCTTATTAAAGGAGAATTATTTGAAAATGTATCATTGGAAAAATGTACTGTATATGTTCATGAAGAGTTAGACAATTTGTCAGAAAGTAATGGGAAATCCAAACTATTGCAGCTTTCATCAGTTTTGTCATTATAATGAGACAGCCTGTAGGGACGGCATCCCATTAGTTCATGTGGGGGGCTAACCTGCCGCCCCCTGTCCGGCCAAAGCTCTTCGCAACCAGTCACGCTCTGTCCAGTGTCCTGCCCAGCTGACGGATGTCACTGGTTGGTGTGCCGTCCAGCTCCCAGCAGTGACGTCAGTGAGCTGGGCGAGATGCCGGATAAAGCAAAAGCCAGAGGTAACATGAATCACCCTCCACTTTTACATGCACCACAAGCAATCCCCTCGGTAATGTGCACTGACAGAGATCATAAAATAGAATAATCTTTACCAATTCCCCACCCCAGAACACACACCACCTGCCTCAGGAGTTTCCCCCTGGATGTCATCAACAAAAGAAGCAAGGGAGAATCTTTGATTGAGGATAACTGTTTTGGTGACAACAGTCTGAGAGGGGATTACCATTTTTTTGTATGTTAAGCCACATTAAGCTCCCCAAACAACAAGCTAAATGTCACTCATTTGCCTTGTGGGAAACCAAAATCCTTAAAACTTCTAGGATAGGTTTGGGAAAACTTAGATTGTGCAAAGTTTCAGGGCAATTGATTGAAGTCTAGGCACTTTTTTACACTAAGCCATTTTCACATTAAGGGGGTTATTCAATAAACTTTTGCTAATCCTTTGGCTCGCTTCGGCTGCAGGAAACCTTCGGTTTAGCCGAACCATAGGGCTGCTGTACGGGCCATTCCGGGCTGAACACATATGCTTTGGTTTGGCCGAGCCGTAAGACACATCCAAAGTGGACCAACTCCCCTTATATTGTTAGAAGGGAAGTGAAGTGGGCCGAGGGGTAGCAGATGTATGGCTAAAAATAGCTGTACAGAGCTGCTGTGAATAGCCGAACATGCTTCAGCTCCCTGCACTTCGCTTCGGGTTATTCACTCGGCTGCCTTCGGCAGCTTAGTGAATAACCCCCTAAATGTTTTAGGATGTCCCCTTGGGGGGGTTCTCTGCTGATGTGATGATGTTAACGCAACCCTCTATTTGAATAGACCATGAATGAAGAGAGGGATCATTACACCCATTCATTCATAGCAAGTTCTCAGTCACCCGGTGACGCTGGGAAGAGTTGAGGTTTAACATAGACTATATACAAGTAAGAGTTTTTGAATCTTGTCTGATGTCCTCTTGCTGCTTTATTCCCTTTTACATATGTTCCTGACTCTCCTAGGGGAGCTATGTACGTTTTCAGTTGTCGTGTTTGTGATATATTTTTGAAAGATCTGGAACGCAGAGTTTGGGGTGGTGCTTCCGGCATTCATTGCCACTATTACTACCTGTAATTTTGCAAAAACTCACTGCTCTATTGTGCCGCCTTCCGGCTCCCTTTATTCCTCTGGAAATAGCTTGTGGATGCACAGTAGCTAAATACACCTCAAAAGCAATCCTAGCACAGACAGTAAAGTCTCATTCACAATACAACTATGCTTTAAAGCCTACTGAGTTTAAGTGCATTGCCATGAATTTTAGACATGTCATGTTACCTTTTTGAAAGAATTGCATTGACACGAATGGCAAAATTCAAGTCATTGCACCCAAATTGCAGCATGTAGGACATCTTTCAAAAGCCACATTATTAAAAAAATAAATAAATCGGGAGTCTGCAGGTAATTTCCAAGACCTCAATTTCCTATAGCCAGGAAACTGGAAAAAAATATTCTTTATGTATTTTTAAAGATTTTAAGACTTTCTTCATTCCATTCTTAACACATTATCATGTTATTATTTAAATAAAATCAGTTCTGATAAGCTCCTACAACAGTTGAACGTTCTTTACATTTTAGAAATGTATTAGTGATTGTACTTATACAGTATATCAATATCATTATATCAACTGACCATTATTTGCATAGAGATGTGAATGTAGGCAAAACATAACCCCAAGCTGGTTCACATAAAATAGAAAAAAGTTTTTTTTTTTTCCATTAAGATTTTTCAGGCGCTGGTTTTAATTGCTTGTTTGTTAATAATTGAAATGATCCTTCGGGATGTGTCTTCAAATGTTCACCGAATCCACATAGCTAGGCATCTGCTGGTAAACATGACAATTTAAAATTCAGTTTTATTATAATTATTGTTGAGCAAGATTACCTTTGCTCAACAATTCACATTCACATTCACAATTCACATTCTGGCATGCGTAATCCCTGTCCCTAACCCTACGAACTATGAGAGCACAGGATCTGATGGGCTTCCTCTTTTCTTGAGTTATGGAGGGCACTGAGGATTCTAAGGGATTGTGATAATATGCCTAATTAGAAAGTACTAAACGTCTTCATTGGGTGCTTTCTTATTGAATATATTATATAACTGGGGCGAGAAATTCTGTCCAGTGATCCTCTGCACCCTTTTTTAAATAAGTAAAAGCAGGATCCCCAGAAAGTCCACGGGTGCATGACATTAATAAGGGTTGAGGAACCCATTTCTATTCTACAGAGTAAATTGGAGCAAATCCTGGTGGTACATCATAAGCTAATGCTCATAATGATAAAACTGATAATTAGGGATGCACCAATGTTGTTTTTTTGGTATGGAGTACGAGTATATTTATATTTCGGTACACGCCAATACCGAGTACAGATACCGGTACTTCTACTAGCATGGAGCCGCCTTCCCGGGCAATCAAGGAGCCAGGCGGCGGGTAATGATTGGCCAGGAAGCTCGCTCCATGCTGTTTGACCGGCTTGTTGCTAATTGGCCGGGAAACCGGATTCCCAGTCAATTAGCATGGAGTCAGCCAAAAAGCATGGAGCCAGTTTGCCGGCCAATCAGGAATCCGCCCAACTTAATGATTTGCTGGGAAGCGGGCTCCATGTTTCGTCACGGCACTGCTGGTCAGAGGAAATCTCCCTCCGACCGGAAGTTCCGGTATCGTGGGTAGGTATCAAAGAATTTGGGCGAGTACTTGTGGTACTTGTGGTGATGCCTTACTAGTACATCCCTACTGATAATCACTGACAGTTTAATTTGTGGGGAAGTGCTTTATTCTTTATTAAAGCAGACTTAAAATAAAACCAGATTTGGGACTTTCAAGGTGCCAGAAATAAACATGTATCTTAAAAATTAATTCACATTTAATGTATAAAAATGTAAAAACAGCATTCAAAAGCCACTAAGGTACAGCACAATTATATTCCAGCATTGTTTGTATGTAATGCTGCCTCTGATAACCACTCAAAATGCATCAATCAATAGCTATAAAGTTGTATTAGGCATAGAGTAGAGAGAACTTACTGAACATACTATATGTGAGCACAGGAATCTCACCCTTCAGTTTTTGATCTATTTTTATTCCTTCTATTCTTTCAAAAACCAGGAAGCTACAGCACAGGGCAGGTCTTCTTTTATCTGCCCTTTGGGTCTTAAGAATTTCAGTTACCATTTCTTTCCTTCATATATTTTGTTCTTGTTTTAAAAATACAACATCTTAAAAATGTTGATGCTGACGCCGGTTTCTCATTTTCTTCCTCACTGTCGTCGAAAAGATGAAAAACTCAGCATCCTTTTCATCTCATTTTTAATCTGTTTCCAGTTTTCCTTCTTCAGTTTTCTACAGTGATCAGAGAATACTCTTGAAAATTATAATTTAAACCAGCCCTTTTTAACCTGTTTACCCCAGAGGAACTATTGAAATAATTCTCAAGTCTCAGCGAATCCCTGCTAAAATTAATTCATCAAGGATCAGTGGGAAAAATGGCCCTTACATTGGTGATCAGTGGGAAGTACATTGGTGGTCATTAGGAAGGATGCTCTTTACATTGGTGTCCAGTGGGAAGAATGCCTCTTACATTGGTGTCCATTAGGAAGAATGCCCTTTAGGTTGGTGGTCAGTGGGAAGAATGCTCTTTACATTGTTGGGCAATGAGAATAATGCCAGTTACATTGGTGATCAGTGGGAAGAAGGCCCCTTACATTGGTAGTTAATGGGAATAATGTTCCTTACATTGGTGGCCAGTTGGAAGAATGCTCCTTACATTGGTGGTCAGTAGCAGGAATGCTTCTTACCTTTGTGGTCAATGAGAATAATGTCCACCTTACATTGGTGGTCAGTGGGAAAACTGTTTCTTACACGGGTGGTCAGTGGGAAGAATTCCCCTTGCATTGGTAGTCAGTAGGAACAATGCTCCTTACATTGGTGGTCAGTGGGAAGGATGCTTCTTTTATTGGTGCCTCTTACAGTGGTGGTCACAATGGCACCCCTACAGACAGCTAAAAAGATAAATGGCTTTGGACCTGGATGTATGCAGACATCATCAGATGTGAGGACCATTAGCCCCAGCACACGGAACCCTTAGCAATCTCTGGAGGAACCCTAGGGTTCCACAGAACCAAGTTGATAATGGGTGATTTTAACAGACCTAAGATTGCTTGGAACAAAGTATTGTTAAAAAAACTACTGTGCAATATTCAGATGCTGTCATAAGCCCAGTCGTGAATGGTTCTCTTAAGATTTTATATAATATCAGATTTTAATGAAGAACTTTTATTTTTGGCAATCAAAACAATATTTTCCATTAGCTTTGTTGATTATTTCTGCTTTTAAAAAAAAAACTGCTTTCTCTTTCTTCCCCTCAGGATCAGCAGAAAGAAACACGATACATAACTACGAAAGAAGACGCAAATGAGATATCCTCCCCGGTTGCATTGGCCAGGCTTCATTCCCTGAGACAGAAGATGAAGTGTAATATAATATATCCAGTGTAAAATGAATATCTATTTATTTTAAGATTGATTGTTTTAGCTTGTATATTCAATAAATTTATTATTTTTAATAGTGTGGCAATGATACTTGTTACATACGTGTGCTGTGGTTCTATGATTATGTACATGGAGGTGAATTTTCTGGGGTGGGCTACTGTAGACTAATGAGGCAGTATTCCCTTTTTGAAGAGGTAGAGTTTCTGTAGGCTGCCATTGTGAAGTGTAATGAAACTGTATTCAAGTGGGTTGTCACAGGGTTGCCTACCCCTTAAAAGAAGATTCCATCCAAAGGTTTTTTTTGGGGGGGTTGGTTGACGTAAGATAGGGTTATTAGGCGGACTTTCTTCCATGCTCCCAGGCTGGTTACCCAATGTTGAAAATGCCCCTCGCTTGTTGCTTTCTCCTTTAGTTCTTTTGTAGCCATGTTACTTACGCTATGTATTGAACAGGAGAGTTTACCAATGTTTGAAGGGAACCTCCTGGCACACAAGCTTGTGGGCTGCACGAAAAATGGAGAAGGACATGCTAAGAATTGAGGTTGGAGGTGGGTCAGACTAAAACTCTTGCCTTCTTACACCCAATTTAATTAAATATAAACCTGTGCTTTGTGCAGGCAGCAGGTTCACTTAAATTGCCTACTTCCTTGCAGCTAATGCTTCCTTATCCTCCCCTGATGCTCTTTTCAACCATTAGGATGAGAAGAAGCCTGGTTTAAGCTACAGGTAGCTCTATTTGGAGCTTTTTCGGGGCTGAGGACTCTCTTCACTCCCTTGTGGCAGCACTAGGCCAATAACCAAGCACCAGCACTGCCACATGAGAGGAAGGGGAGTGAGTCACATGTTCCACAATACCTGGTATTTATCTTTGCTACCAACAGCTAAACGGAGCTTCGAGGGAGCAAATGCTGCTGGGAAGGGCCGACATTAAAGCCAATATCTGTTTGTAAAAACATTGGGAAGAAAGTCTTTCTTCAAAAAACCTGCCACCTATTAGGAACACATTTTGTAGCCTCAAGCAACAGTCTCTCGAATTGTGCTTTGCCACAAAGTGTCTACTCTTTTTTGGCGGGATGCCCAATGAAATAAGCCATTTTCACAGTTGTCGGTGAGTGACAGAAATGCAATGTTGTTTCAATGTTAACACATGAAAAAAAAGATGTTGTACCTTTGTTATTTGGAATAAATTGGTATCATTGCAGCATGTTTCTTTTCTGTTTTCTTTTTTTTTTGTTCCCTGAACGTGAATCCAAAGTCTTCATTTCATAGTACAGATGTTTTTTCTGATAGTGGCACTTTGAATAAAAAAAGAGATTTTGCAACATTTCCTTTCGTTTGTGGCTTGTTCATTTTGTGGTCGCTGGTTGGAGGTTGTGTGGTGAACGGGTGAATTTCATGTCTGTGTTACCTTCCTGAAAATCATCCACATAAAGGAGGCAATGTATAATGGCATAGAAAAAAAGGGGAGAGGAGGTCGCAAACACTATCCAGTGGTAGTCAGAGGACAAGCCCAGGTCAGTTGCCAAAGGTATCAGGTATGAAGCGGAAGACGATGAGAGTAGTCGGTGAATCAGCAGCCAAAGGTCGGTACATAGGTAACAGTATGAGAGGATTGTATCACAGAAGGAGCAGGAAGCAAGATATTGGCAGGAGCACAATAATCTGGCAAACAGGAAGTGCATAGGCACGGCTTAAATATGAAGTTCAAGGGAGGAGCTAGGAGTTCAGAGTTCAGCAGAAACTAGGTTTACCTGAGGATTACACATGAGATCAGGAAAGGAGCTATTCAAGGTTCTAAGGTGGCTCAGCAGGTAGAACCACTGCCAGCTACAGCCAGCTTTAGATCCGGTTCGTGACAGAAACACATCAGAGAGGGAGCCAAGGTGTTTTTCTTTACTGTGTAATAATGATGTGTGGCTGAGATGAGCTGGGAGCTAGGACCCATGACCCATGATTGAACGGCTGTGGGTATTATTTATCTGCGTGACCTTTCCCTTTATCTTCCTGTTCTTTCTCTGAGGCAATACAATCCATACAATCCATACAAACTACTCCCTCCCTATCTAAAACTAAAACAAAAAAATTAAATAAATAAAATTGGCTTTGGCTCTTTAAACCTTTTACTAACACTGCGTTTTCTCAGCAGTGTCTCTGAAATAATCATTTAAAGTAGCATAAAAAATGTCTTTCAATTTTTGCCCAAGCACTTACAGTCATCATGTTTCCAAACAGTTGGCTCCCACTCTCTCAGCTCGGCTTCCCTGAACTTCCTGTCTAGTACTTGTCCAGCACAAGATCACAAGGAACAGAGCAGTCTCCAACAGCTGTTTATCGATTAGCTTGGAGCAGAGAGAAGGGAGCAGCGGGGAGCAAAGAGAAGGGAAATGGTTTGCTGTGCTGTCTGGAGACACACACAGCTAACTATCACACACAAGGGTGGCTCCATAGGACCCTACAATATGATATCAGGACCAGTGCTCATGGACCAGCTGATTCTGCAGGAAACTAAAATGCTAAACATCAAGGAGCAGCATCCATTGTAAGTGATTTCATCAGCATCTGAAATAGCCTAAAAATCTTTTGACTTTAATATCACTTTAAAATAAGGTCACCCAGAAAAATAAGCCACCTAACAGTTTCTTATAACTCTCATGGGATGTGGTGATTACTAGGGATGCACCAATACCATTTTTCTGGTATCCAGTACGGTTACCGATATTTCTTTTTTTGGTACTCGCTGATACCGAGTACTGGTGCCTTGTGCCCCGATAATCAGGAAGTAGGGCAGCAGATCATGACTAATCACCCGGCTTCCTGATTGCCTGGAAAGCCTGTGTTCCATCGAAAGAACACCGTCTTCACTTGCCGAGGCTTGCTGGCTTCCTGACCAATCAGGAAGCCGGGAGGTGGGTCATTACGTGCCGCCCAACTTCCTGATCGGTTAGAAAGCCAGACTGCCTAGCAACAAGTGAAGCCAGCTTCCTAGCCAATCAGGAAGCCAGGTGGCATGTCATGACCCGCCTCCCAGCTTCCTGATCGGCTAGCAACCCTGCTTCACTCATTGCTAGGCAGCCTGGCTTCCTGATCAATCAGAAAGCCAGTCAGGAAGCCGGGAGGCGAGTCATAGCCCAATCGCCCGGCTTCCTGATTGGAAAGGAAGCCAGCTCCATGTTCCCTCACAGCACTGCCGGTCAGAGGAAATCTCCCTCTGACCGGAGGTTTTCCAGTATTGGCGGTAAGTATTGGAGAATTTGGACAAGTACGAGTGCTCGACCAAATACTCGGTATCGGCACGAATATCAATACTAGTATCGGTATCGGTGCATCCCTAGTGATCACATCTCTGTCCTTTAATTCCCAAATCTGTACACTTGCTGTGGCCTTTAGGGGGGGATCCTACTCCCCCTGCTGGAGTGGAAACATCACAAGCAGGGTGGGAACACTCAAAACTGCAAAATAAATGGGGACAGAGAAGTCAAGAACTATGGCAAAGCGATTTCCTCACTGGAGTCTCAAAGAGGAATAAGTATCCAGCAGGTGATTTAATACACCAGACTCCATCTGCAGCTCAAAGAAGAACTCCGGGCATGTACAAAATCATCCCTTGCAGTGGGGCTACCCCCAGAGTGCAAGGGTTAGGTGCTCATTTTGCTGTAGGGCCTAAAATAAAAAATATATACTCACTCGGCTTTGTGACAGTGACTGCTCACCGCTCTACCCCTACACGCCAGTTGCGGAATGTCTCCGCGTCCTCACCTCCAATGCAATTAAATGGACGTGACGATGTCAGGGGTCCTTAGAGCACCAGAAAAGAGGCTGCAGGGGCCGGTCTGGCAGAAAGGTGGGACCAGGGATCAGGTCAGTATATATTTTTTATTTTAGACCCTAGACAAAAAGCAAAACCTTAACCTTTGCACTGGAGGGGTAGCCCCACTGCAAGGGTTAATTTTATACATGCCCGGAGTTCTTTAAACATCACTTTTGGTGAACTGGTACTTTAAGCAACATTCCTCCCTAGTACCGGTATAGTTATTGGCAAGCTTTGATGATTCAAAATGACACAAATTTGCAGCTCAGTAACCACAGTCCGTATAAAAGGAAACCAGAATGCCAATTTCCCTGGTTACATTTTGGGGTTTTTATTATAGTTTATCTTTAAAAAATGTTTATGTAACCTTCACATTTTAAATGCTGGCTGTATGATATTCCCATGATTATGTTACATGTTCAGATTTGTAGATCGTTTTATAGTAGCTATCTGCTTTTCACTGAAGTCGCCCTCTCTCCTAACCGCTGCTGAAATAAAATTTCAGGTTGGCTTATTATGTTAGCCCTCCCCCATCCTAAAACCCATGATACAAAAATTAAGTGAAAAAAGTTAACTAATGGACTTATCCTGTCCCAAATTTCACTCATGGAACCTAGGCAAGGGTGACCTCAACACCATGTGGGTGATACTTTGAAGAATGCAGAGTAGCCTAAATCTTGCAAGCAGATGCTACAGAACTTTGATACATGGGAGGCCCTGCAAGCTCCACCAGGCTTGACAAAGTCTAAATAAAAGTCGATTGAACTGGGTGGAAAATTATTGGCTGAACAGTGAATGCATTTGACTGGATGCCATTACTGTTCAGCCAATAGTTGTCACGTCGACTTTTGTTCGGGCATTCATGTAGTCGTGGATGCTGCAGCTGTCTACATACAATACCTGCCAGTGGAGATTGCTCCATTCACGCTGTTAGAGTGGATGGGGGAATCAACTGATTTTCCCTTGTCTAGCCATGGACTTAAAGGATTATTAAATCCTCAGCGTATTTTTGCATGTATGCACTGCTAGCAAAAGGGTTAACACTTATCTGTGTCTCCGCCGCATGCTCTCATCCGAAGAGCTAAAGATTCTTGGGTGGCCGTAAAGGATCATGGGGCGAGCACATGCGCAGTAGAGATCTTCGGCTGGGAGACTAGGAGAGACACAAGGTAAGTTAATGGAGGCAGCGCCGTGCACCCGCA